CGCCAAAGAAATCTTCTTTTAAAAAGTTCTTAGATTGGAAGCGTGGCCTTCAAGCTGATCCCGCTAAGATCAAACCCAGTGTGAATTGGCCAATTCCAAAGAACTAAAAGGCTTGGACTCGCCATCGACTTGCAAAAAAAAATCGCAAATTATGCAAAAATGCCACGGTCGCTGTCTAAAAATCGTCAAGAAAGACACGGAATGGTGTTGAGACACCGAGGTTTGGGAAGCTTTTGACAGGGTCAAATACCGCCTCTTTTCTGCACCAATACTGCCGTTGCCAGACCCCGATCGTCCTTTTCGTGTCGTCTGTTACGCTTCGGACTTTGTCATCGGCTGAGCACTGCTACAAGTAGACACCGAGGGGCCAAATCAGGTGATCGTGTTCAAATCTCAGGCTGCGGAGCGGAACTATCCAGACACTACAAGGAATAACTTGCGATAAAGTATGCACTTGTCAAGTTTAGAGTGCACCTGCTTGGCTCATCCCCGTTGATGATCTACATAGATCATGCGTCATTACGCACTGCGACTCAGTCGCCTCACCTCTCACAGAGAATCGCAACGTGGCTCTCATTCTTTGCAGGATATAACTACAAGTTGAAGTATGAGCCAGGAAAGCAGAATGCTTTGGCTAATGCATTGTCACGCAGACCGGACTATGACCTTGCTAATGTCAAGACGGTGACTTCGTTAGTGACGGATTTGATCCGCGCCGCATACGCTGGTGACAGTATTTGTGTAGCGCTGCTACAAGCCTTCGGGAGCAAGAAGTCTAGAAACTCGGACAAGAAATTGTAGCCGTGTTTGCGCGCACGGTTACATCGATAATTGATGAGTAACGGGATGCTGTATTATAGAATCGTTTCAGCGGATACGCCACAAGTTGTGAATCTTCAGGATGATGATTTGAAATACCGTATCCTCCTCGAATAGGCCCACGACACCCCAATTAGTGGTCATCTCGGTCGTGAGAAGACTGGCAGGTATGTCAGTTGCCACTGGTGGCTCAAGCTGTACAAATGGACGAGCGCATATGTGCGCACGTGTGAGACGTGTCAGAGGGTGAATCCTCTCCAAATGCGGCGACGCCTCTGGCCAGTTTACCATTACCCTCCGGGTGTTGGCAGTCCATGAGTATGGACTTTGTGATTGGCCTGCCGAAGGCCTCGGCGGCAACACGGGTGTGGTGGTATTTGTGAGCCGTTGGAGCAAGATGGCTCAACTTGCGGTAGTGCGGGACACTGTCGACGGTGTGGGTACAGCGACGCTTTATCAATCGTGTCTTTCGACAGCATGGACTCCCGGAGTCAATTGTCTCCGATAGAGACCTCGCGCTTCACTGATAAGTTTTGGTCTACATTCTTCTAGCTGCTGGGCACCAAGTTGACTTTTTCAACAGAGCAAATTACAGACTGACGGTCAAACTGAGCACGTGATTCGCGTCGTTGAAGACGTTCTTCGCAGCGTCTGCGCTAAGACGTCAAAGTGCGGGGGCGCCATGCTGCCACTCGTATAGTTTGCTCTGAACAATCCAGTGCATATATCTGCCGGCTGTACGCCATTCTACATGAACGAGCTTATTAATTGTCGACGCTGCCAACCCATGGCTTGTGGCTTGATGGGGGAGGAATAGCCGAACGGCTAGCTGATGTCAGCCTTCTCACCGTCTGTAAGGAAGTCACTGACTTCCTGTCTACTAGACGGAATGTCTTACGACACGTTCGCGATGCGACGGCTGAAAGCAAGACATGCAAAAAGAATGTGCAGATGGAAGAAGCAGAAGTAATGTGATAAACTTTGAGGTCAGGGACCTGGTCTATTAAATACTGAATACCATCCTACACATAAAGTTTCTGCTGACTTAAAACAAAGCTCAGTTATTGAACCTTTTATGATCGTGGCCAAGCGAGGCCTTGTTATACCCTGAACTTCTCGAGATGGATTTGCGCCCACCTGGTATTTTCAGTGGGCTTGCTTAAGCCGTACCGGGATCCGGCGCAAGTGAACGCGGAAGCGTTGGCGCATGGGGGGGGCGCCCAAAGACGCTCGGCCACACAGAAGCTGAACCAGCAACTGTTTTGAGCACTGAGTGCAACAATTTTTGTTTCCAACTACCCCCATTCAGCTAAGAAAAGGAGTTTCCCTTCGCTTGGCGCAAGACGCTCCACCGTCGCACGAAGTGACGTATTCGTCTGCTCGATGGCTTGTCGCCGCTCCGACAAAGCGCTACGATCCTCAACGTGAGGCAATCGGTGCACAAAGTGCTCCAGACTTATGAGGCCTTCTGCACAACGGTAGGTGGCCTCAGAAAGATGCTCGTCAGAGTGCTGCTGACGACGAACTTTGTCCTCTAAAGCTTGAAGATCATCGCAAGTCTCTGGACTGCGATTGACTCAGTCGTCATCGCCCGCCGCCAACTCTTCTTGACTAGAATGGTGGTCATCACTACCACGTGGAACGCTTTGTGTGTCGACGTCGTCGACCGGATTTAACCTTACATCTTGTAAAATACCCAAACTTTAAGAGCTCGTGGGAGTTTGAGGTCCCACTTCGGCAAGACTGCCCAGACGTCGTGGAAGCTAATCGACATTGATCATGACGCTTTGCGTCGTCGCGCGCCCCACGCTTCTCGGCAGTAGTCCGGGAAGCTAAGGGCCAAGAGCTGAGCTCAAGCTATGGCCTTGAGCTGCTGTGGTTGTGGACTCACCCGTGTGGGACGCCATAGAGCTTGTGGGAACGTTATGGATTATTCCAAATGTCGCAGGGTGGCAATACGCAGGAAGTCGGCGTTGCGCCTCGAGTTTGACAAACTCAAATCAAAGATGGCGCTCTACGCGCACGTTCAATTTCTTGTGGCTTCGCTGAAAGGTAGACAGCGAAGAAAATTTCCAATGTCGCGGCACCCAACGCTCAAATAATTCATCGTCATTTGCAGCGACTTTCGCCAGGGGCGAGCACCGCAGGGTGGTCCGCATTGCGGGAACAGGATCGCCTTCTTTTCGTGCTCAAAGTTGAGCGCGGTATCGATCCTTTGGAAAATCTTGTGGTACCAAGAAGCAAGATCGCAGAGCTTCCGCTGATCAAGCTCAGCTTGTGTAGTGGCCGGGGCTGACTACGTAAACGTATAGTTATCGCGTCTTTCACTTCAGTAGCGGGATCCGCCGAGCGGAAGCCGTATCCCACACGGAGTTCTAAGAACGAACGTTAATACGAGCGCAGCAGAGCCGCCATGTGAGCAGCCTCCAATCGCTGCTCCTGTGCCTCGTCGAAGCGATTGGTAATAATTCCACTTCCCCGGAAGCCGAGAGGTTGGGGATCGGACACGAAGTCCGCAAGGTTTCAGCTGGGCTCACGTCGCGCCGTTCGCGAACTTCATCTTCCTCGTCATCCCATGCTGGTAAAGAAGTGTCTGACTCATAGTCCACCTTCTCCAACTCCACGACGAGGAAACCGTCGCCCGAGGCGGGCGCGGTGTGTTGCGCCCGGTCGCCGAGGGCTTGGGATGTGCTTCCTTTGAGGCCGCGCACGTACTGTCCGGAGATGCACCCGGTGCAGAATAAGTAGAAGGGCTTTGCCCGCGGGTGCCCTCGCTACCAGCTAGGTGGGTGTTTTGTGTGTCATAGACACAGTGCTCATAGAGCGGGAAAGGTATAAAGCTGTTCTTAAAGAACGGGGTTACACGTGCCCTTGTCAGAAAGGGCGGGTCGCACAAGATTGTGCAACGGTACACCTATGTATATGTGTGTATTACACAATTAGTGTAATTACACAGTGGTGTGGCTACAACGTACAGGAAGCCACCGCAACCAGTATTACTGGATATTATTATATCAATTAGGTATGCTATATTCATTAGGTATTCCTACATTTATATATTGGCTGTAACGGGGTTATCCGTACCCTGGTAACAGGGGTGTGTATCACACGAGATGTGCATGGTGTGACCACACCCAAACAAACATACGGTATGGGGCTAGGTGGCCAGTAGCTATGCATGTATTTAGTTTTTACTACATATATTTAGTATATTCAGGAAAATCTTAAATTTTTTGATTAGGATAAAAAAATTAAAAATCAGTTTTGGATTTTAAACCGAAGAGTCAATTAGCCTTGGAAAGGCAATAATTACTCTTGGAGTAAGCGGTTTGCGATCCGCTTTTCATACGTGGTTCCTGTAAGGAACGAAAGGTCGATGACCTAAAGTACGCTTCCTTAAGCGCTAAACTACGGCTACCCCGCTGCATTGGCGGCTCTACCATAACTAAAACAATTAAATACAGTTTCGCTTTTTGAACAGAAGTGTTCGTTTGCCTCGATTATGCTTCAGTACTTAGAAGTAGCGGAATCCGATCTGCTACACTTGTACTGGTTCTTGAAAAGAACGTAAGGTCAGTAACCTTTGCTTACCTTCCTCCAAGCAAATAGCTACAGCAGCCCCGCTGCAAGCCACGTACTGACTTGTTCTTTAAATGTAGCCGCACCATTGTGTGATCAAACCATCTTGTGTGACCCACATCATTCGTACCAGGGCACGTGAAACCGTCTCCTAGACTTTATGGAAATCTGGCATACACATATTAACAAGCCAACAAGCGTGTATACGTGCCTGCTACGTACATTTAAATAAAATCAAGTCGACAGCAATAATAGTTTGAGATTTACCGATTCATACTTAATTGATTGCAGTGGTGGGCATGCAAAAAAGAAAACAACATCAAGATGTAAATGAGAAAGAAAAAAGTTTAATGTTTCCACACTGGGACTGGAACCCGCGTCTGCCTGATGAAATCAGCTACCCTAATCGGCAAGCGTGAGTGTGCGGTAGGCCCGTTGTTGCCTATTTTTAGCGTTGCGGTCGTTCAGCTTGGGAAATTTATTCTGTTGCCTTTTTTGTAGTCAGCAGTATTACGAGTAAAGTTTTTGTCTGATTCACAAGAATACTTGATTAAAATGTAGTGAGACTTTTAAGAGTTTAAATTTCAAATCAATCGGCGACCATGCCGGAGCCAGGGCGGTGGCAACGCGAGTATGACCGCAACTGGCTTGACTACACACGGCAAGTTATCGCTCAACGTTTTGGGCAATATGCACTTCAGTTATCGCCGACCGTGAATCAGGCCGATGAGCGTCAATTACAAGAAATCTTGGCAGAGGTAGGCATCAAGCACGCCCCGCTCAACCACAATCGATGGCACGCACCATATTTGGCACCACAGACGTCCTGTGTTGATCTGATGCCACAAAGCCCACCTTTTTGTGATGAGTCGTATGTTTATAATACCCCGCCATCATTAGGCAGCCAGAGCATGTTTCCAACGTTCAGTTCCCAGGATTTTGCGTTTCGATCCACGCCACGCCAGATAAGTACTTCACAGCGGTTGCAACTGCGAACTGCTGAATTGTCCCCAATTGCAAGTGATAGGCGAACCTCAATCGAGTGTGTTGGTATGATATCGCCATCGGCTGGAACTGGCAAGTCGCCCTGGACGCCGAGACGATGTTTATTAAAACCCGCCGGAAAGACGCGGCAAACACCCCGTCGCTCGCTTGAAGCGCGTTTTAACGACAATGTTAACGTGTCGCTTTTGTCGACGCATTCGTGTTGTAATAAAGCAAGAGAAATATATAAGCAAGAAGAAAAGGCAGAGGTAGAGAATCTTGCGCACACTGTCCGTAATGTATCCGAATGTAATCGTGTCGTGAATTCAAATGAAGCAACTATAAAAGAAAGTGAACATCACAATCAAAAGGATCAATGTCCACAGAGTGATTATCAAGATGCTGGAGAGATGAATGTATCTATGGAGCCGGAGCAGGTATATAGCAGTGATAGCGATCCAGACGACAGCAAGAGGAAGGATAGAGCCGAAGCCAAGACAGAGCTCGAAAATAATAAGTTGAGTTATTATGTGTCAGGTGATGCCGATATTGGTGAACAGCAGCTTCAGCAGACACATCTTCGTACCTCGACCCCTATATCATCACATGCCTCTATAGTTAATTATGAGCTTGGAGATGATAACGATGGTCATAATCAGCAACAAAACGGCGTGCAACAAGACATCGAGATACATGAGCGAAATTTTTTTATTACAAATAGCATTGTTTGCAGTCCAAATACAAACCATGCCGACAGCGAATCCGCGACGGGAGACGACAGAAATGCCACCAAGCCTTGCCATTCCCCTGCCAGGATGTCAGACCATGCATCTACAAAGCGCACGAGCACCAAAAATAACATATGCCTTCCAACTGAAAAATATCCAGACACTGCTTTATATAAGACATCTTCGCTTGCCAACACGATAAACTCGTCCTTTCCAGCATCAATCACAAGATATTCATCTTACGCAACTATCAAAGCGTCATCGGCTAAAAAGAGGACATATGCTGGTATTACGGACTCCTCGGTGAGTCCAACAGCTTCATCAGCTAAACAATCGTCACTCACACCTCCTATTCCTCCCAAGGATTCATTTTCATCTAAAACAGCCTTGTTGCGGAAGCATATGAATCGACGTACGCTGGTGCATACAAAACTGCCACTAGAAATGGAATACCGGTTTGCACGCGATCGTCGGCGATGCCATAGACGTCGAAAGTCTCTTGCTGCAAAGTCAGATGCATTCTCGTACGTCGTACCTGAGCTTTTAGTCGAACTGCAGCCTTATCAAAAGAAAGCATTAGACTGGATGCTTCAGAGAGAAAGGGATATTGAAGATCCTGTTACGATTGACCAGCAGCGCCATGGCGGTGCGACAGCCGTTGATGCTCTAGTGGCGAAGGTTCGTGGTGGAATACTGGCTGATGAAATGGGCCTCGGAAAAACTATATGTTGCCTTGCCCTTATATGTAAATCACTTCGTCAAGCCCGAGCGGCATATACTCAAATCAGAAGCAAGACAGGTGGCATGATACCTCGCCTTACTCCTCCAACACTTATTGTGACGCCCCTCTCTATTCTATCGCAGTGGGAAGAAGAGATACGATCCAAAACAAACCTGAGCGTCGTGACATACCAAGGAACTGCACGAAAAAGATTTCGCGCCGCTACAGAATTCATGGGAGCTGATATTGTGCTGTCAACCTACGACACCCTCCGACTTTTGGAGTGCAAAATATATGACAAATTCAATCACGACGAGGGTGAGCATGTTCATTACGACAGACCTAGTGCAGGGAATAGATGGCATCAAGCGCCACGACTCACTTCAGTATTAAAGAAGTCTGTGGTGATGTCGAAATTGCACCATTTGCAATGGTTCAGGGTCATTTTGGACGAGAGTCATTTGATTGCAAACGCTGGCTGCGCTCGAGCACGGGCCGCGTGCACCCTTAGTAGCAAACGTCGGTGGTGCATTACTGGAACCCCTATTCAAAATCGAGCAGCAGATTTGGCGGCACTACTCCGTTTTATCGGACTTGGTAACCATGCACATACTCTTTCTGAACGAGAAATAGGTGCTTTGGTGCCCCGTATTGTCATGCGTCGGCTTAAGTCGACCGTGGACGCAAATACTCGACTTCCCATTCTGAAAATACCAGAAAAACATGAAGAGACTATCGAATTAGAGTTTTCGTCGGATGTCGAGCGTGCTCTATACATGCTGTTGCATCGCTCAACGAAACGGCAAGTGTTTTGGTACTTGCAGTCAAGAGAGTCCAAGCGACGTCGTCCTGTGTCTCTTTGTGCTCCGATCGTAGATGACGAAGGACAACGACCTTTATTTATGCACGTATTTGAACTTATCTTGCGACTACGGCAGGTCTGTGATGCATGTGCTCTGGTGACTGCAGACCCGCTAGCGGAAGTGCAATCACGGGCTACTGCAGCAGAAGCATTATCTGGGAATGGAAGTGACGGCACTTCACCATTTTCTCCAGATGAATTGAAATTGCTCAAGCGCTTGCAGCTTCCCTCGAACTCTGAAGTTGAGGCTGGATGTCGTCCATTGGAATCAACAAAGCTGACTGCATTAATGAAAGAGCTAATAAAAGTGCGAGCTCGTCAAGAGCGAGCGCTGGTGATTTCACAGTGGACAAGTTTTCTTGATCTGATTGCAGAGCGCCTTGAAGCGCACAACCTTCAGTGCGAGAACAAAATTTCATCCTTCAAGGAAGGTGACAACGAAGCAATACTGTTTGCTAAATTAGACGGTCGAATGTCCGCTAAGGCTCGAGAACAAGTTGTGCGAAAACTCCAGCAACAGGACGCTGATGAGATAAAAACTCCTGGTGGTCCAACGCTTGACGTTTTGCTACTTTCTCTGCGTACAGGCGGACTTGGATTGAACCTTACAGCTGCCACACACGTTTTTATTATGGAACCGAGCTGGAATCCCAGTCTGGAATGTCAGGCTATCGATCGCGCGCACCGTTTTGGTCAAAAGAGAAAGGTTCGCGTTGTTCGATTTATTGTGAAAGGGTCCATTGAGGAACGCGTAGTGGCGTTGCAAATCAAAAAGCGTCAACTTACTGCTTCCTTTTTGGGTGATGGCGACATTCTGTCGAGAGCTACAAAAAGCAAACTGAGTGACACACGGCTGTCGGCTGGGGATCTCAGAAGGCTGTTTTTCACACAGCACGATGACGAGAAAGCACAGCGTTCACAGCATAAAAATAGTGAAAATATTGACAACGTTGATTTAATGAATCGTGATGGTGAGATGGAAGAGAGCGATTTTGGTGATAAAGAAGAGAGTGATGGCAGCGTAACTTGCATCGAGATAAGTGACTAAAAATGTTACAATATAAATAAGTTTAGATTGAATTTCAATAAGTTTCTACGTTCAGTGTTTGAGATTTATTGCATGGTAAGTTTTCGCTGGCGTTTGTTAGATCGCTTGCTTGTGGGCTCGGACCGCGTAGATGATGACGAGGTCGTTGTGATATTTGAGGGAATGGACGCAATCTTTCGAACAGGTGAAGGAGACACCTTACAAAGAGATGGAGAAAGCGTCTCAGTGCAGATTAAGTACGAGTCATCCAACTCATTGGAAACTTCGTTGTTTGTGTCGTGAAATGACGGTCCTTGCTCGATGGCTGTTGGGCTTTGTGTAAGCAACTTGAGGGGATCCAGCATATCAGAAGCGACAGCTTGTGATACCTGGATCCGCGGGGAGGTTGGAGAAGAGCCAAAGTAAGCGCTACGCACAAGTTTGAAGGCTGCACGATATGCGCTTTCCACAATTTTGACGGTCTTGAGTGCCTTGAGCACCTGTGCAACCGTGAGATTGTACTCAGATTTCGCCACAAGTTGGACAGCGGCCTTGGCCAGACTTGAGGCAGAGCAGCGAAGGGAAGACATATCCTCAACCACGCGCTCAAGCAGACTGAATACAGAGGCAATGCAGTTGGCGCGACGGTCGGTATCGCCGAAAGGGAGCTCGTAAACAAAGTCTCGAGCCATGGTAAAGACATTTGGGGGACTAAAACGAAAGTTTAGCAGACGCACAAGTTGTGCCTCTGCGTCAACCATCTGCGCACGAGAAAATTTGCGCTCGCACATTAGCGCCATTTCCTCCAATAGAATGGGCTTGCCCTCATGCATCTTGCTAGCTGTCCACATGCAAATCATACCTAGAAGCTGCAATGTCACACGATCCACCGAATGCACACTGAGGTACTGATCAAGGAAGTACATGGCCCCGTAGACTGTGTCCATCTGCAGCTCAAATTCTTTCGCAGTTTCGAACATCCAGCGACACACACGCAGGCGCCAGGTACAGGACATACCATGGCATTGCACTTCAGTAATGTATTGCGGGTTGCGCATCCCCATGTAGTGCTTTTCTTTGAGCATTGCCCACTGTATGATTTCGAGTGACTCGGACGCGTACGCCTCGGAAAGCTCATAGGGCATCTTAGACACGAAAGACATATCGACAGGGGAACGAATATACGACACAGAGAAAACTATACAACCAAAGGCTTCAGCAGGCCACGGAAAACAACGGAATGGCAAGAGCGCGAGGAAGAGGGGACACCACGATGGCCAAGCATCATTGTCAAACCGGTATTCCCGACAATATGGGCTGACGGGCTACTATCCCAGCCCGTGTCAATTGCAAGCTTTGCATTGGTGAATAGTCAGAGGACGATTTACTACGAATAATATGAGGCAATCTATTTCTTTTTCATCCAATCAACCGCGATAATGTGTGGAAAGGATCTTTCGAAATTACTCAACATACATTCAGTGCATTCTTTTGTGAGAACATAAATGCATCCTTATTGTCTGCATCCTGAATTTTCACCAGAGTAGAACCCAGTGGTAAGTTTTGGTGCAGTGTCGGCTTTAAGTTTCTTAGTGGTCAAAAACGAGTGAAAATACTCACCCTCCTTCACTGGATTGACCATATGTACTGATCGGTACGGGCGGCATGCGTTAAGCTCGAGATGTAAGTCAATCAAATAAGCACTTTATCAAAATATTCGATTTGCGCATGTTTTGTGGATTTGTGGTTTGTGGTGTCATGGTACTCAAAAAAAAATGATTCACACAACAATACATTAAGTAGGGTTTTATTATATGATA